GTAAATGGTCGCCTGGGGCAGACAGACCACAGAGTGACATTTGAGAATTTTTACCTCATTCGAAGATGGGCCGTGGAGGGCGGGTGAGGGCGGGTAGGGGTGAGAGGGGAGGGGTAGGGGCGGTGGGGAGGTGGCAGGCATGTCTGGTTCTGGAGGGAAAGAAGTTTGTCTGTTTTATTTGACTGGCTTTCTTGTTAAACGAAGATGGGATTGCTTGTAGACAAAGGCGTAAGTGCATCCCGTGCAAGGCAGAGACTAACCCAGTTCAAGTCAGCGCGCGGAGGTTCTGCCACGGGCGCCCTTCCGAGAGAAGAAAAAACCCTTTTTCGATCTTATTACGATGGAATTTCTAGTTTACATCCGATCACATTATAAAAGACAGTCCGTTTTTAGAATATTGATAGTCGTAAAAAGGGGTTTAACTGAAGTATCATGCATGAAATTATAATCCCATACGATCTGAGGAGAGAAAAACATCGTTGCAATTTTTTAGAATGTAGATGAGGAGAGGGAAAAAGAGGTGGAATTATTTTTTTAAGTATAGTTAAAGAAAATGAGAATGAAAGGGATAATACAAGGTAAACTGAAACTATTACTTAGTCAAACTTGCGCGCGACTTGTCTTTTCTTCATAAAGTCGTAAAACTTCCATCGATTACTCAGATTTTAAAATTGCCGTCCCATAATGAATCAGAAACTACTATAACCAAAATCCTCCACAAGGAATAAAAAAACTCTATTAATGCAGAAAAGAAAATTCCCTGCCACCATAAACTTTCCCTTACGATCCTTTACATAAATGAACTGAATTCCTTTCTGAAAGTGATCAAAAGTTTGAGGTTGTGCGAACTTTAGCGTCTGATCTCGGACTGGTGTCTGTTGTAAATGTGCCGTTGCGACCCAACTTCGCCCCGGTAAAGACTCTCTCTGGACCTTTAACTTAGCTTGAGTGCCGGCCTCTTTCCTCGCTCGCTGGGGGAGGCGGGGGGTGGGGGGGCCTGGGGGAGAAGTTGGGGAGCCGGGGGCAGGGAGATTAGGGGGAGAGGTTGGGGGAGAGACGAGATCGAGGACCTGGGGGACTGGGGGAGAGGTTGGGGGAAACGTTGGGAATAAGGGGACAGGGAGAAAAAGGGTGTCTTGGGGTCGGGAGGGAGGGGAAGCTGCTACCCCCGCTCGTCGGATCCTCCTAGAGAGAGGGTGGAAAGCTGGGGAGTTGTCTTAAACTGTCCGTCCTGGGGTGGGGAGGTTGGGGGATACCTCGTCGTGGGAAGGAACTAGAACAGACGTCTTCGGGTTGCCGTTCCTCTTGGGGCGCTGACGGGGGGTGGGATGGGGGGGAGGTGTTGATCCTGGGGAGGGAGAGAGTGAGGAATCGCCCCATCAATGTGTTGGCTGTGACGAGGGGAGGTGAGGGGAACCGTGTCAACGCTATGTGCCGAATCCGGGGAGTGGAGAGGGAGGGGGAGGGGAGAGAGGTAGGGGGAGGGGAGAGAGAGGTAGTGGGAGAGGAGGGTGAGGGGAGAGAGGTAGGGGGAGGGGAGAGAGAGGTAGTGGGAGGGGTGGGTGAGGGGAGAGAGGTAGGGGGGAGGGGAGGGGGAGGGGAGAGAGGTAGGGGGAGGGGAGAGAGAGGTAGTGGGAGAGGAGGGTGAGGGGAGAGAGGTAGGGGGAGGGGAGAGGGAGGGGAGAAAGGTAGACGGAGGGAGAAGGAGGGGACGGTCGTCGGGCAGTTGTGTTGATTCTGGGGAGTGGAGGCTGGGGAGTCTTAGTGCTGTGTTACGTGCAATATAGGGACACAGCGGAGTTCCTGGGCGTGTACAGCGGTTCCGAAGAGGACGAGGTTATTAGAAAACAACTCTCACAGCTGTGTCAGGACCTGGGGGTGAAATGGAGGATGAGGGACCACTTTGTTACGCTCATCGCTGCGTAAAGTTTTTTTTCTTTTTCTTTTACTTTCACTCTCTCTCTCTCTCTCTCTCTCTCTCTCTCTCACTCTCTCTCTCTCTCTCTCTCTCTCTCTCTCTCTCTCTCTCTCTCTCTCTCTCTCTCTCTCTCTCTCTCTCTCCCTCTCCCTCTCCCTCTCCCTCTCCCTCTCTCTCTACCTCTCTCTCTCCTCTCCTCTCTCCTCTCTCCTCTCCTCTCCTCTCCTCTCCCTCTACCTCTACCTCTACCTCTACCTCTACCTCTCCCTCTCCTCTCCTCTCTCTCTCTCTCTCTCTCTCTCTCTCTCTCTCTCTCTCTCTCTCTCTCTCTCTCTCTGCTTTTTAGGGTTATTTTCCTTCTTTAATCATCATTTGTATTCATACGCTTCTTGGTAATTATCCTTCGGGTCGTCTTCATTTTTTATATTTTTTTTCTTGCGTGTGTATGTGTATATTTATCCACACACACACACACACACACACACACACACACACACACACACACACACACACACACACACACACACACACACACACACACACACACACACACACACACACATATATATATATATTATATTTAGTAGTCTATGGATAATATGATTTAGTGATATGACTTAAACCATTAGATTATATAACTGATTAAACGCCCAACATCGCAGAAGTAAAACACACGCAGTTTATCTGGAAATTGTAGTACGATTTTTTTTTATCATTCTACATAACACATATCACGTAAAAAAGCTCAGATATTACCCAGAGGTCGCTGATGCCGAGTCCTTGGATGTTAACCACGAATGTTGAGAGCTCACAAAAAAAACACCGAAAATAGCCTCCCACGTACATTACGATGAAAGGACGCAAAGACATGTTATTTGGGAGGGAGGGAAAAAAAGTATAAAAGCAGTTAAAGGGTAACCGATCTCGCCAGCGTCCGGTCGGGTCGGCTTGGTCAACTTCCAGCAAGAGGCGACCCGAATGGAGGGAGGAGAAACGTGGAAGAGGGAGAGACAGGGAGAGGATGAGGGTGAGGGAAAGGGAAAGAGAGAAAAGGAGAGTGAGAGGGAGAAGGAAAGAAAAGGTGCGGGAGAAGGAGAGATAAAGGGAATTAAGAAGATAAGGAGGAATATATATATATATATTTATATATATATATATATATATATATATATATATATATATATATATATATATATATATATATATATTCCTCCTTATCTTCTTAATTCCCTTTATCTCTCCTTCTCCCGCACCTTTTCTTTCCCTCTCCCTCTCACTCTCTGTCCTTTTCTCTCTTTCCCTTTCCCTCACCCTCACCCTCTCCCTGTCTCTCCCTCACCCTCACCCCTCTCCCTACCTCTCCCTCTTCCACATATATATATATATATATATATATATATATATATATATATATATATATATATATATATATATATATATATATATATATGTATGTATATTTATATTTATATGTATATTTATATATGTATATATGTATATATGTATATATGTATATATGTATATATGTATATATGTATATATGTATATTTGTATATATGTATATATGTATATATGTATATATGTATATATGTATATATGTATATATATATATATATATATATATATATATATATATATATATATATACATATATACATATATATGTATATTTATACATATATGTATATTTACATATGTATATATATATATATATATATATATATATATATATATATATATATATATATATATATATATATATATATGTGTGTGTGTGTGTGTGTGTGTGTGTGAGTGTGAGTGTGAGTGTGAGTGTGAGTGTGTGTGAGTGTGAGTGTGTGTGTGTGTGTGTGTGTGTGTGTGTGTGTGTGTGTGTGTGTGTGTGTGTGTGTGTGTGTGTGTGTGTGTGTGTGTAGAATGAATGAGAAATGTAGAGAGGAAGTGAGAGAAAGAAAGAATGAAAAAAAAACATATAGAGAGAGCAAGAACGAATACGAAAGAACGAGTAGGAGATAGAAAGAGAGAGAGAGAGAGAGAGAGAGACACCATACGCTACAGGAACAACCCCCCCCCACCCCCACCCCCAACCCCCACCCCAACTCAACCTCACCCCACACACTCCCCCCCCCCCCCAACCCCTCTTTCCCTCCCACAAGAGACGCGATGTGTAGAGGGGAAAAGGGGGAGAAAAATGTCTCGGGTGTCGGGGAAGTTATGTGTGTTACGGTAACTCGGAGGCACAGAAATGGCTAGTCGACGAGGAAAGAGAAGTGCATCAGACAGTGGCTTAGGGGAAGAAAAAAAAAGGGGAAAAAGGAAAAAAAGGAAAAAAAAATGTTGAAAGCGGAGTCTTTACGTTGTGTAATATGAATGCATAGGGTTGAAAATATCTTGTAAGGGAAGGGGGAATACAGTGCTATAATACCGTTGGGATGAAAAAAACAAACAATCATGTTAGTGTTGGAAGGTGAACAAAAATGACCCCTGCTGACCTCTGGGATTCCTTTGGGATATCATAATGGGAAGGTGAAGGTCAGGAGAAGAGACGGGAAGAGGAAGAGAAGATTGGCAATAATACTTTTTAAGTTATTTGAGAGAGAGAGAGAGAGAGAGAGAGAGAGAGAGAGAGAGAGAGAGAGAGAGAGAGAGAGAGAGAGAGGGAGAGAGAGAGAGAGAGAGAGAGACGGACAGAGAGAGAGAAAAGAAACGAGAAAGAGAGATTTGATTTGATTTGATAACATTTATTTACAGAACAGTGTACATGCCCTGCAAAAAGCCAGGGTAAGATACCAAAGCATCTATCCAAACTGGCTGTGCTGCTATTTGTGTAGAGGGCCATTGGTCAAACAGTGTTACATACATGCCTGAAGGGCTGTTCTATTATCACAATATTAAAATATCATCTGACTGGTAAAAAACCTTTTACATCACTAATCATGTCAAAGACAAGACCAGTAATACATTTCAAGTGATTAACTGGAGGCATTGATTACTTGGCCATTTCCAAGGCCCACTACAGGGTGATTCTGTTGTTGATTTAGGAGGAACGAGAACATCCTTTCCTGAAGTTGAGATTGTTGAG